ACGCCTTCTTCCTTTTGGCTCTTGAGTAGCATTCAAAAAAATTTTCGTTATCCATACCTAAACAAAAAATATTTTAATGAAGGAAAATACCATACAAATAATCAATTTGCATAATATCCAATCAACTTGCATAATATCCAATCAACTTGCATAATATCCAATTAATTTGCATACCATCCAATCATTGTGCTAATATCTAACAAATGCAGATGATAAAAAGGAATACTAAAATAAAATGTTATCATTAACACATATAGCTAGTTCGGTTGCTGGTTCCTAATTGCTCTCCACTCATTATACATTTCCTGAGCCATATCATTCCTCATTGCAGTCCACTGGTCCGATGTTTGAACACTACCAACATATTCACCTTCTTCTATATTTTGTCCATCTTCTATTATTGGCAAATTCTCCATTGGATCTACAGACATCTCTTGCCTAATAAGATTGTGTAGTAGGCAACAAGCGGTAATTATTCAACCTTGTGTCCTTATCTGATAGAAAGATGGACTCCTTAGTATCGACCACCTTCCTTTTAGCAAGCCAAAACAGCGTTCAATTACATTCCTTGCCTTAGAATGCTTCATGTTAAAATATTCTTCCTTATTAGAAGGTGTTCGTCCCTCCCATTCAGATAAATGATAAGGTATTCCTCTATAGGGTGCAAGGAATCCTTCACCATTTGTATAACCACCATCTACAAGGTAATAACAACCTAATGAAAAAAAAAAACAGACCTTATTAGTGTTTTGTAGTTGACAAACAGAACTAAACCTAACTTACAAAGTTGAGACTAAGTAATAGTCTTACCCGCTGGTACCTTAAAACCATTAGGCCTACTAATTGCATCATGTAGCACTTTAGAGTCTGATGCGGAACCCTCCCACCCCGGAAACACATATATGAACTGCATATCTCCTGAACACACACCTAACACATTAGTTGCGACTCAACCCTTTCTTGTTCGGTATCTTGGTTTGTCAATTTCAGGTACATGCACATCAATGTGTGTTCCATCCAATGCTCCCAAGCAATTCTTAAAAATAAAAAATAAAAAAGTTTTTGTTAATTTATACAAAGGGAATGAAGAGTTAAAGCTTAGGGAAAATGACAAAAATTTCTCATCATACCTTAAAACATCGCCACCTAGGATCTGTAGAATCAATAGGCACAGGCTGGGGGACTTTTAGTAGGATACCTTGTAATCGCAAAATTCCTTGCAATACGCTATTGAAATACCGACTTATAGTCTCTCCCGACCTATAAAATCTACCGCCAACACTACGATTCTTAGTATAATGTGCTAATATTTGTAAAGTCATACACACCTGTTCCTCTACAGACACCAAACCATCAGTTTTTACCCTCCCATCTTGACGAAGTAAGTCGCATAATATGCCAAAAGTCCTTCTATCCATTCTCAATTCGTTGACACATTCAGTATCAGTATTCCCTATTATACCATTCAGATAACACAAACTAATCTCTCGTCTAATAAGTGAACGGTTAGTCAATGTGGGTTGTTCAACATGTCTCTGTTTGCCACGTAGTATCATCACCACAAGAATCGTACAAATACAAATTGTCTCCAAATAAGACATCTCTAACAATAAGATCAATAAAAGCTTCCTTCGATCCATATCTATCCAAACAAAAAAAAAAACAATAGTATGAGGATTGCTATCATTCCTAGGCATTGCATGTGAAGAGGGAAATTAAAGGACACCTGTAATGCAGTAGCCTTGGCCTTAGCCTTGGCCTTAGCCTTCTGTTTATGCTCCTCTTCTCTGCAACAAACAACCACACAATTCAGCATCAACCCCACACCATACAAAACATTCACATTGTAATATCATGGTTATAAACCAAGTACATACACACACACTCATGGACAAATGTGCAAAATACACATACATACTCACACTCACACTCACACTAACACACACACACAGACATACACACACACTGCACACACACTGCACACTGCATACATACTGCATACATACACACACACACACTGCACACACACACACACTGCATACATACATACACACACACTGCACACACACACTGCATACACACACACACTGCACACACACTCACACTCACACTTACACTCACACTCACACACACTCACACTCACACTTACACTCACACTAACACACTGCACAGTCACACACACACACACACGGGGACAGAGTGCAACACACTCTTACCCTCACACACACACTCTGTTTTTATACTCACACACACACACACGTACACACACACACACACACTGTATACACACACACTGCACACACACTGCACACTGCATACATACTGCATACATACACACACACACACACTGCACACACACACACATTGCATACATACATACACACACACTGCATACACACACTGCATACATACTCATACTCATACACACACTGCACACACTGCATACATACATACTCATACTTATACACACACTGCACACACACACACTGCATACATACACTACACACACACACACTGCATACATACACTACACACACACACACACACACACACACTGCATACATACCGCATACATACACACACACACACTGCATACACACTCACACACACACTGCATACATACTCATACTCATACACACACTACACACACTGCATACATACATACTCATACTCATACACACACTGCACACACACACACACTGCATACATACACTACACACACACACACTGCATACATACTCATACACACACTGCACACACACACACACTGCATACATACCGCATACATACACACACACACACACTGCATACACACTCACACACACACTGCATACACACACACACTGCACACACACTGCACACTGCATACATACACACACTGCATACATACTGCATACATACACATACACACACACTGCACATACACACACACACTGCATACACACACACACTGCACACACACAGTGCATACACACACACACTGCATATACATACACACTGCAAACACAGTACATACATACACACACTATATACACTACACACACTACATACACTACACACACACACTGCATACATACACACTGCAAACACAGTACATACATACGCACACTACATACATTACACACACACACTGCATACACTACACACACACCTTGCAAGTACACACACACTGCATACACCCTGCATACATACACACTGCAAACACACTACACACACACACTGCATACATACACACTGCAAACACTACACATATACACACATTACATACACTACACACACACTACATACACGACACACACACACTGCATACATACACACTGCAAACACAATACATACATACACACACTACATACACTACACACACACACACTACATACACTACACACACACACTGCATACACTACACACACACCCTGCAAGTACACACACACACTGCATACACCCTGCATACATACACACTGCAAACACACTACACACACACACTGCATACATACACACTGCAAACACTACACATATACACACACTACATACACTACACACACACTACATACACTACACACACACACATTGCATACATACACACTGCAAACACAGTACATACATACACACACTACATACACTACACACACACACTGCATACACTACACACACACCCTGCAAGTACACACACACTGCATACACCCCGCATACATACACACTGCAAACACACTACACACACATTATGCATACATACACACTGCAAACACTACACATATACACACACACTACATACACTACACACACACTACATACACTACACACACACACTGCATACATACACACTGCAAACACAGTACATACATACACACACTACATACACTACACACACACACTACATACACTACACACACACCCTTCAAGTACACACACACTGCATACACCCTGCATACATACACACTGCAAACACACTACACACACACACTGCATACATACACACTGCAAACACTACACATATACACACACTACATACACTACACACACACACTGCATACATACACACTGCAAACACAGTACATACATACACACACTACATACACTACACACACACACTACACTACATACACTACACACACACACTGCATACACTACACACACACCCTGCAAGTACACACACACTGCATACACCCTGCATACATACACACTGCAAACACAGTACATACATACACACACTACATACACTACACACACACAGAGACACACACACGCAGACACACACACACAAGCACAAAGTACTCCCATTGTTGAAACCCCAATTTTTAAAAATCGAAAACAACATGTGGGTAGGACTTCCAAGTTTTACAACATTGACATCCTAAATTCTGAAGTTCCATCTCATCTTATGAAAAGCCCAAATCCTAATTTCAATTTCACCTAAATATCAAAACCCTAATTTATTCAAGTGCGGATCTCTATGATTCAAAAATTATCAAACCCAAAACAATCAAATCACATAAAACTCAGTAAAATTACCTTCTACAACACAAATACATGCAATTAATAGAAGAATCGAAGTTTACCGTACAACTCAGATGAGGCGAGCAGATGCAGAGACAGGAAGGCGCTCAGAGGAGGGTGAGGAGGAAGAAGATGAGAGAGCACGGCAACGAAAATGAGAGGGAACGTAGAGATGAGGACGAGGGAAGACAGGAGGAAGGGACGAAGGGACGAAGGGAAGGCAGAAACTCTCTCGGTTTGCTCTGGCTTACAAATCCGCTGGGTTTTGGGGTTGCTTGCGAAGACCACCTAAGGAGGTCTTTAGTCCGACCGAGTCCGGCTTAAGCTCATTAAAGCTAATCTGGTTGCACACCAAACACAGGACTATAGTCATGTCCAGTCCAAGCCTTACTAATCTTGTCAAACAAACGTGCCCTAAGAACATTGGATTCTCCTTTGCCGATGTACACTTCACACGTGCACTAGTGTGTGGCAACATTGGATGCCCCCTTTCCTTATCTGCATTGAACCTGGAACCAAGAGCCAAACGGCTCTTTTCTCTCCTTGAGCCGAGAGCCAACAGCTTTCTCTCAGTATTATTTGAAAGTGACCCCCTCGCTCTTTATTTCAAAACCACCCTGGCTTTATCTCTCTAAAGAAAATACTCTGCATTTATCTACAAATGAACCCTAGCCACTCCTCCATTCTCATTTCAACATCAATGTGGTCCTGTGCTCTCTCAAAAGAGGAAAGCCATCCCCATAACCCTCTCAACCGCACACAACCTAACCTTCATCCTTGAGCCTCTTCGCCATTTCCTCCATTGCTCTCTGTTCGTTCAAGGGCGTCATCATCCTCTCGGGAACAACACCCCAAAAGTCACAATTCCATGGCTAAACATTATGGATGCCACCATTCTGTAGGTAAAACACAAGCACCCCCAAACTTCGGTTCTGATTTAATTTCTAAGTTCCATTGCTGTCATTTGTGATTGGGACCAAAAGACGAAAGAAGCTAACATTCTTGCATGTATAGAGTTAAAATGTGTGTAAACTGCTCACAGATTCGTCGCCTGAAAAGTAGAAACAGAAACAAATCGTGTCAAACACACAGATCCGAGCATAAGGAAGGTAAAAACTCATGTCGTGAAATGTTCAACTCTGAATGGCTTAGAATGGTTCAATGTCACGGTAGAGCTCAAATGTCCATTTCTCTGTGCATGCAGGTGGCTTGGAACGAGTGGAAATCCGAGACGAAGAATGCTCAAGTTGCAGATCGAGCGAGTCAAAAAGGAAAGAATACCCGTCAAGCTCTTGTAACTACAACAAGTATAAAACTCATCCCTCAGTTTGATTGTACTCAGCATGAATGGCTTCAACGCATTTTTCCTGCGATTTCTGGGATCTTTCTAAAACTGATAACTAGGTCTTGTAATTGTGAAGAAAAATAAATAAAACTGGGATCTAAGATGTTAATGAAGAAGATGGATCTTAAACACAACTGGTCCCAATAATAAAAGTGAATGATAACCTATATTACCCTGAACATATATATGGACCATTTGGACTTGAACCGTACTGAGGACAGAGAAAGAACTACCGCCAAACTTGAATAATGGCATCAGTTACCACTAGAACGCATATGCCTGATTGTTTTGTTGCAGGAAAATACCCTAGATCGGCAAAAGCAGCTTGAGGAGAAAACTCTACACTGAAGAATAGCTGCGTGGCAGCTTGGCAAAACAGAAAGGTATACTTCCCATCCATGTTATGTGAATCACAGATGCGGTGGATGTTGATGTTCTTGTTTGTCTTGTTTGCTGTCTGCAAAAACCCAAGTGATGAAATCAGAGATAGGATGTAGAAAATACTATCGGTATACTAAAATAAAACAAGTAAAAGAATTTTTTTTTTTTTTTTGATTTTTTTTATGAAATGACAACCTAAGAAATTAAATGCAGCTTGAAATTGAAAGTAAAGAAATAAAAATGAAAGAAAGTAGAGAAAAACTTACAGAATTGGGTTGCCTCCCAAGAAGCGCTTTATTTAATGTCTATAGCTAGACGGAACAGAAGCCCAGTGATTAAGTTGTTGGATCATTCAGAGTCATTGACTTGCATGCGATATCATAAGGTGATTCCAAATATGGTTTCAACCGATGATCGTTAACTTTGAATGTGTTACCACTTTGCTCATTAGTAATGTCAACATCTCCATGAGGATAGATCTTTGAAACTCGATATGGCCCATTCTAGCGAGACTTGAGTTTTCCTGGGAATAACCTTAGCATGGAATTAAATAATAACACTTTCTGCCCTAGCAGAAACTTTTTTCTCAGAATTTGACTGTCATGAAATGCTTTGGTTTTTGTCTTTGTATATGCGTGCATTGTCATAAGCGTCATTACGAATTTCCTCAAGCTCATTTAGCTGCAGCTTACGTTTTTCCCCTGCTGAATCGTAAGAAAAATTCAACTCTTTTATAGCCCAATATGCCTTATGCTCTAGCTCCATAGGTAAATGACAAGCCTTGCCATACACAAGCCGAAACGGGGACATCCCAATCGGTGTTTTAAAAAATGTTTTGTAGGCCCAAAGTGCATCATTTAATTTCAAACTCCAGTCTTTGTGAGTGGAGCCAATTGTTTTCTCCAAAATACGCTTGATTTCCCTGTTTGAAACTTCAACCTGCTCTGATGTTTGTGGATGATAAGGAGTGGCAACACGATGCGTTATCCCATATTTTGCAAGCAACACAGCAAACTGTTTATTAATAAAATGCTTTCCTCCATCACTGAGTATAACTCACGAGATTCCAAACCGTAGAAAAATAACACCTTGGAGGAATTTCAGAACCACTGATCCTTGATTGGTTGGTGTTGCAATAGCCTCGACCCACTTAGAAACATACTCAACAGCCACTAAAATATATTGATTGCCATGTGATGATGGAAATGGTCCCATAAAATCAATGCCCCAAACATCAAATAATTCAACAACCAGTATTCCTTGCTATGGCATTTCATTCCGCTTGGACTGATTGCCTACTCGTTGACACTTATCACATGCCTTGCACTAATTGTTTGCATCTTTGAAAATTGATGGCCAAAACAATCCACTTTGCAATATTTTTTCTGCTGTCCGCTTCGGCCCAAAATGTCCACCACATGCATAGTGATGGGCAAACTTCAACACACTTTCCTGCTCACTTTCAGGAATACAGCGCCTTATAATCTGATCTGCACAATATTTGTATAAATATGGCTCATCCCAAAAATAATGTTTAACATCTGCTAAGAACTTCTTTTTCTGCTGAAATGAAAAATCAGGAAGTAACACTCCTTTTGCCAAATAATTCACAAAATCAGCAAACCAGGGGGCACTATTGAGGATAGCATAAAGTTGTTCATCTGGAAAACTTTCATTCAATGGAAGTGAATCTGCTTCTGCAGTAGTTGGAAGAATTAATCTGGATAAATGGTTAGCCACCACATTTTCACTACCCTTTTTATCTTTAATCTCCAAATCAAATTCTTGAAGCAAAAGAACCCAACGAATTAGCCTAGGCTTAGCATCTTTTTTAGACAACAAATATTTAAGGGCAGCATGATCAGTATAAACAATAACCTTAGCTCCCACCAAATAGGATCGAAACTTCTCTAAAGCAAACACAACTGCCAACAATTCCTTTTCTGTGCTTGCATAATTAAGCTGTGCATCATTGAGAGTATGACTTGCATAATAAATGACATGGGGAACCTTGTCTTTACGCTGTCCTAAAACTGCCCCAATGGCATAATCTGAAGCATCACACATCAACTCAAATGGTAAGCTCCAATCTGGGGCTACAATAATAGGGGCCGAAGTTAGAAGTGTTTTCAACTTGTTGAATGCCTCTAAACAATCTACATCAAAATTAAAATGGCATCCTTAGCCAATAAACTACACAAAGGACGACTAATCTTGGAGAAATCCTTGATGAATCGTCGATAAAAACCTGCATGCCCAAGAAAGGATCTCACGCTCTTAACCGTAGTGGGAGGTCGCAGTTTGGCAATAACGTCAATCTTAGCCTTATCAACTTCAATGCCCTTGCTGGAAACTAAGTGGCCTAGAACAATACCTTGCTTAACCATGAAGTGGCACTTTTCCCAATTTAACACCAAATTTGTCTCTTGACAACGTTGTAGGACCAAAGATAAATTCTGCAAGCATTGGTCAAACGAATCCCTAAATACTGAGAAATCATCCATAAACACTTCCATAATCTGTTCAACTAAACCAGAGAAAATACTCATCATACAACGTTGAAAAGTAGTTGGTGCTTTACATAACCCAAACGACATTTGTCTATAAGCAAATGTTCCAAAAGGACAAGTAAAAGTTGTTTTCTCCTGATCTTCTGGTGCAATTGGAATCTGATTGTACCCGGAATAGCCATCTAAGAAACATTAAAATGCCCGACCCGCTAATCTCTCCACCATTTGATCAGTAAAAGGTAAAGGAAAATGATCTTTTTTGGTAGCCGAATTAGGCTTCCTATAATCAACACACATGCGCCAGCCAGTGGTTAAGCGCGTAGGAACTAGCTCATTGTTATCATTCTTGACTACTGTAATTCTAGTACGCTTAGGCACATCCTGTGTAGGACTCACCCATTGGCTGTCTGAAATTGGGTAAATCATACCTGCGTCAAGAAGTTTCATTACTTCTGTTCAAACCACTTCCTTCATGATTGGGTTAAGGCGCATCAACTGTGGGTTTTATGCCTTCTTCCATCAAAATTCTGTGCATACAAATAGCTGGGCTGATTCCCTTAATATCTGCAATAGTCCACCCTAATGTATTCTGATATTTACGCAACACTCTAAGCAATTTTTCCTCAACAGAATGTGTTAAATCTACTGCAATTATTACTAGCAGTGTTTGGGCAGCCCCTAAATATGCATATTTCAAGTGTTCGGGCAAAGGTTTGACCTCCAATTTTGGTGCTGTAATTTGGATGGTTTTAATGGCTGTTTTGGTTCCCCCAAACTTTCATAAACATGTCTCCATTTAGGCAAAAATTTAGGCACACTGTCTAGAGCTTGAACAACTTCTAGGATGTCTTCATCATGTGTTTCTGCATCAAAATTCCCATATAAAACCTGCTGCAATGGATCTTTTATTGAATGAGTCACATAATTTGCATCAACACACCCATCCAAAACATCAACACGCATACAATCAAGCTTTTCTGCTAGTTGTTTGGTTGCTTCAAATAAATTAAAAACCACTGACTGATCTTGAACCCTTAGTGTTAAAGTTCTCGATTCCACATCAATTAACGTTCTTGCTGTCGCCATAAATGGTCTGCCCAAAATTATTGGCGTTTGTAAATCTTCATCCATGTCCAAAACAACAAAATCTGCTGGCAAATAGAGATTGTCAACTTTGATGATCAAATCTTCAATGATGCCCCTTGGATATGCAACTGACCGATCAGCTAATTGTAGGATAACTGAAGTAGGATTTATCTCTCCTTGACCTAGCCGCTGAAAAACATAATAGGGCATTAAATTAATACTAGCACCTAAATCAACTAAATCACGTTTAAAATCAGAATTTCCAATAGTGCAAGAAATAGTGAAACTCCCTGGATCTTTCTTTTTCGGGGGCAGTTTGTGCAGTAAAACTGCACTGCATTGTTCAGTGAGAATCACTTTTTCGAAGTCCATGAGCTTTTTCTTGTGTGTGCATACATCCTTAAAAAATTTGGCATAAGATGGAATCTTCTTGATAGCATCCAACAATGGTAGATTAATTTGAACTTTGGCTAATGTTTGCATGAAATCTCTTAGTTGCTGATCTTTGAGCTTTGGTTGTAACCTTTCGGGATAGGGAATAGGAAGATCATAAACACGCTCCGGTTTCTGTACAGGGGCAGATTCTGGGCTGTTCAAAATCTGTTCAGAAACAGATTCTACATCTTTTTCTGCAGTTGCACAAACTGGGTTGTTAATTTCTGTAACTTTGTCCTTGTTGTCAATTTGTTCTTTGTCACGATTGTTGTAACTTTTTCCACTGCATAGAATTCTCACTGCATTGCAATCTGTTGTACCCCTTGGATTAGGCACTGTTTGACTAGGAAACTTTCCTTTTTCCCTTTTCTGTAATATTACCTGCTAGCTGCCCAAATTGCCTCTCCAAATTAGTTATGGAAGCTTGCATATTCTGCATGTTTTGATTCATTCTTTGCTGTATCTTTTGCAGGTTCTGGTTGCTTTACTCAATACTGATGCGAATGGCGTCTGCCAGTTTGTCAATTGCAATTTCCCAAGAAGCTTTGGCTAGTGCAGCAGGTTGCTGGATTGGTGGTAGGAATGGTGGTTTAACTTGCTGCTCACCACCCCATTTTAAATTTAGGTGATCTCTCCAACCCGGATTATAAAAATTTGAATAAACATCATTTCTTTGCCTTGGATAATTGTTGAATGCATTAACTTGTTCTGCAACAAAATCTGGATATGCATCTCTCTGTGGACAGCCCATAAAATCATGTGTGGGTTGGCTACAAATTGCACAAGCTGTTGCAGGTTGCTGAATAGTAACTTGCTGAACTGGAGCTGCCATTTCTGCAAGATCATGTCAAATTTGCATCAAAATTTTCTATCTTTCTCTCAATCTTTTCAATTTGAGCATATACATGTGGAGACCCCATGGACATTTCAAAAACGCCCCTATTTTGTGTTTCATCCCCTGCCCATTATTGAGATTCAGATGCCATGTTGTCAAATAATTGATAGGCTTCCTGTGCATTTTTAGTTGAATATGAACCTCCTGATGAAGCATGAACATGATTTTTAGTGTTTGAATTTAATCCTCTGAAAAATATGCCCATTCGTGTGTCTCCATCAATGCCTGCGTGGGGACACTTTCTTAATAACTCCTCAAAACGCTCTCATGCCTCGTGAAACTCTTCATTAGGCTTTTGGGCAAATGATAAAATTTGAGTTCTCATATCAAGAGTTTTAGAGGCTGGATAATATTTGTTAAGAAATTTATTGCTCATATGTGCCCAAGAAGTGATACTGGCATATGGTAGTGTAAGCAACCATGTTCTTGCCTTGTTCTTCAATGAATAAGGAAACAAACGAAGTTTGATTGATTCTGCAGTAAACCCCTTCACTAAAATATTTCTGCACCCCATTAAAAACTCTGTGATATGCATATTAGGATCCTCATGAGCTAATCCATGAAAAGTAGGCAAAATCTCCAACATGTTATGTCTAATTTCGAACGCGTTGCCTTCCTCGTCGACATATACAATGCAACTTGGTAACTCATTAGCACGGGCTGCTAATGTATCCCTCAATGGACGCCCAGCAGCTGGTATGGCGAATGCCATGGTATCTTCGCTGTCCAAAAACCTAGAAAACAGATTTTTCAAAAAAGTGCCCTCCAACGAGGGTTCCCACGCTAAAATCTGCTCCCTGCGCCTGCCTCGTAAAATTCGTTGCGGCTCTGGGTTGAATTCTACTAACTGCTATCTTTGAGATCTGGTGCAGACCACGAACTAGATCTGCCCAGGTTGCGACCTGCGTAAAAAAAATGAAAATTAACCTTTTTTTTATTTTTTATTTTTTTAATATAATTATTTACAGCAATAATTAACAAAGAATTATGATTAACACAAATTGTTAAAACAATCCCCGCCGACGGCGCCAATTTCTTGATAGGAATTTTACCACCTACAAAAGTAGGGATAAAAACACTAAAAATACTTGCAAGAGTACAAGGTTGTTGTAGTATAAACGGCTCAAGTAAGGTCGTTTTCCGCTGGGATTGTTAAAAATAAATTATGCAAAACGCTAAAACTTAGTTAATTATCTGAAATAAAGATTGGAAGAGATTGATTTTGAATTTAAAAATAATAAAAACGAATTTTAATAAAAATAATGTAGGAAAAATACTAATGACCAATTAGAAAAGAAACGAGTCAAAGACAAAAGGTTTTAACAAACATATTTGGAAAAGCACTAGGGTTCCACCATCCCCTTAACGTTCCTATGTAGATTTACCAATTACCTATGAATCATTCATGCAACTTTGAAGGTTAGGTTTTCCTCATGCATATTCTACTTGTGGCATTCAAGCTAGAATATATATTAAACATGCAATCCATCTGTGGCATTCAGATAAAATATAAACATGCATAACTCATTACGCTTTATGAAAACCCTTTGAAAACCATGCAACCCCCACGACGTGACATTCGCCCTAGGTGAATTTACAACTATCAATCACAAGAAGCAATACTCAATTCCCCGGTGGCATTCCGATAGAATTGCATCCAATTACTTATCTAAACATCCTAATGGTCGCGAATCATTAAGACACAAAGACAGTTTAAAGCACAGTGATTAATAATTCAAAATATGCATGCATAATATCATAAGCAATTAAATAAAAAACTACATATTCATGCTAAGGATCAAGGTTTCACCCTAGCAAAAGAAAATTAGCTACGCATACTCATAATTAAAATCAACATAATTATATTAAACTATGAAAAGAATGAAAACACCTTAAAGTATAATTCTTGAAATCTCTAAGCTTTTTCCAAAGTCTTCTCCCAAAAGTTGAATATGTTCCCCCTGAAACCCTAGGTCTGCCAAAAGGCTTATTTATACTACTCTCAATAAAATCCTCCTAGTAAAAGGTCTTAGAATAAAACTAGGAAACCTAATAACTTAGAATAAAATAGGAAACATAATCCTAAATTAACTTGGTAAATTCGCCTAAAAATATGCACAGCCACGTTTTGGACCCAAATCAGCTCCAAAACTGACCCAAACTAGCTGGACATAAGGCTTGGACTATTCTGAACACTTCTCCAGAAGGCCACGAACCCATCTGAGGTCGTCTTGGGCTCCAAAAATGCATTTTAAGCCCAGAAACGTTAATTTCCAGCAACGCGCACTGCTTCTTCATTAAATCGCCAGAAAATAACCGCTTGGTAGAAATTGCTGAAATTTTGACATGAACAAGCTAAGGAACACACGAATATCCTCCAATTTGAATTACTCAAACATTCGTCTGTTTGGGCATGTTTTTCTCCAGAGGAAGTCAAATGTCCTATATTGAAAATATAAAACAAAGTATCAAAATTCTTCTAAAATAATTACCAAATTAATATTAAGAATAGGGTAAAATATATAATATAATATTGACTCATCACCTACATTAGGCTTCCTACCAAGGAAGCATATGGCTTATCTTCCATGATCTTTCTTTCCAAATCATTTTTTTAGCGCACTGCAACTTTCTCAACTTTTCTCCCTTTGAAATTGGCACTTCAGTAGTTGATCAGATCATATTTATATATATTTTTACTTCAAATTCACTCGTCTTTTCTTAGTTAGTTCCTTATATTTTTGAGCTATTTACGTTATTTTTGTGTTTATAGGATTTGTTATGCAAAGAAAATAAAAATAGAACAAGTGAAATTTTATGTAATAAATTCGTCAAAACTGTCTGTGTAGATCAGCTTTTAAATTAAATTAAAAAGAAAATATAATAATGATAAGTCATGATGATGTTTGAAACATCATCATGATGGTTTTGTTTTGTTTTGTAGAAGAAAAGAAAGGAACGGACGGAAAAAGAATCCAAGGGAGAGGAGAGAACGTGCAGAGAAATAAGGTGGAAGAAAATAAAGAATAGGAAGCTGCCTCTTGCAGCAAGGCAAAGAGTAGTAGGCGTGAATAGAGGGAGAGGAGAGCACGTGAAAGGGGATGGAAAGGGCTGCCTTTGCAGCTGGCCAGAGAAAAAAGAAAAAAAAGAAAAAAGAGGAGTCCACGCGGAGGGAATAAAAGAGACCAGCGGAAAAGGAGAGGGGATATTGGGGAAGGACGTGAGAAGAAAGGGAAGGCAGCGAGGCTGCCAGAAAAGAAAGAAAAAAAAAATATAAAAAAATAAAGGAAGGGCAGCGTGAGAGACGGACAGAAGCACAGAGGCGTGAGAGAGAGGAGCAGAAGGCTGAGGCGCGCAAGTGGGGAGAGGGAGAAAAAGACAAAGCAGAAAACTAGCAGCAAGCAGAAAAAGGGGAGAAGGCAGCGAGGCTGCCAGAGAAAAAAAAGAAAAAAATATAGAAAGAAAGGAGAGGTCAGAAGCACGGACTGGGAGGAGGACAGAGACAACGGCAGAGTGCAGGGAGACAGCGGGCAGAGCAGGAGAGAGAGGTCAGAGCGCAGTCCACGGAACGCAGGGCAGAGAGCAAAGCTTCTTCTTTTTCGGTTAAATCTTTCCAAACTTATATTTTATTTCTATTTTAATAATGTGTAACTAAGTTTATTTTGGCTAGAGGTTAATTCAAAGCCATGATTATATTTGTAATATGAATTGATTACCTTCAGTTGTGATTTCTGAGTTGTGATTTAATTTGCTTAACTGCTTGATTGATAACTTATTTTTGTATGTCGATTAAGGATGCATACTTAATTTACATGCATGAATTTGATGCTAGAATATAAGTGAATTTCACCTAATCGTTATGAACTTATATTCACAAGTAGTAAAGGTTGCTAGTCACAATCACGTTAAGTAAATTCTTGGCAAGAGTATCATGCTTTTCATAGTTACGAATGCCTCGTCAATGCTTATAGTTTTCACCAAGTTTAATGATCTTTGATTGTATCTCTATTGTGCTTTTCACGTAGGGGACTTTTGAAGAATGTTTTGAATTGTTGTATGCGTTTTCCCGTCCAATTCAATAACTTAAGGAAAACTTGAAGATTAAAAAAGTGCTATTCACGGTTAATTTGAAGTGTTGAAATTCACAACTTATTGAAAGAACAACTGAAAATCAATTTAGGTTGCATATGTGTCATGTGTGGAGAAAAACCCTCTAGCTAATCCATCACCTATCCTTTCACCTTAATTTCATGTTTTTGTCAATTCTGTAATTTATTTAAGTTTAATTATTTAAGTTTAATTTACTTCTCGTCAAAACCAAACCCCCCATTATTAAATTATATTATTTAGTTAGTTTTCATTGTTGTTAGTCTTTTAATTCAATTTCCGTCCATTTCAGTTCCTAGTGTCTAATTTGATTGTTTTCATTATTTTGAGTTATCCTAAGTGTGTTTCGAGTTATTAGAGTTTTTAGCCTAGTTTTGTGTCCTTGAGTCTTATTTAATATTTTTAAATTAATTTAGAATAGATTAGCAATCCCTCCTAATCCCCGGCCTAGAACGATACCCTACTTACATACTTTACTACAATTGTCAAAAAGAGGGTTTAATTTGTGTGTTAACTTATTTTACGCATCAAATTTTGGCGCCGCTGCCGGGGATTAGCAAAGTTGCTAATCCCTTGTCTTGAGTCTTGTTAAATTGTTTAGTTTTTTTTATTTTTTTTATTTTTATATTTATATTTGATTTTATTTATTTTTTTTTATTTTATTTATTTTATTTTTTATAATTACCCTGTTTTGTTTACTTATGATATTTGATTTAGTTTTATTTCTTTGATATCAGGTACTAAAAGAAGTAAGACATGGCAATTGCTAATCTTCAAGCTCAAATGGCAATTCTTACTTCTCAATTGTCACAGTACATCGAAAGGACCACAATACAAAGCACCCCTACATTCGATGTGTCCTATACGCAAGGATATCAAGCAGATCAACATCCACAAAGGAGTTGGGAGAGTTATCATGATCATAATCAATCAATGAACAACTTGTTTTCCAACACGTATAATTCAGATTGGAGGGATCATTCAAACACTACGTGGTGGGAACCTCAACCAGTTCAACACGAAGGATATTGGCAGCCATATAATGAGTTCTATT